CACACACCGCTTGTCAAGCCATGCTGTGGCAGCGTCCCATATAAAGTAGAGGAAGATGGGCACGGATGTTAGCTCAGGGCCAACCTTCCTCAGCAAAAAGAGGGGAATTGGCAACAGATGTTAGCTCAGGGCTAATCTTCCTCACAAAAAAAAAAAAAAAGAAAGAAAGAAAGAGAGTAGAATAGTGGTTGCCAGAGGCTGGGGAAAGGGAATAATGTGGAGTTATTGTTTAATGGACACAAGTTTCAGTTTGGGAAGATTAAAACATTCTGGAGATGCATGGTGGTGATGGTTGCATAACAACGTCAATATACTTAATGCACTGAACTGTACACTTAAAAATGGTTAAAATGGTAAATCTTGTTATATATATTTTACCACAATTTAAAAAATTAAAAGTAAAATAAAAAAAGAGGAATGAAGTACTGATAGATGCTACAACATGAACATTCAAAACAGTATGCTAAACGAAAGAAGCCAATTACAAAAGCCCACATATTATATGACTCCATTTATATGGAATGTCCAGAACAGGCAAATCCATAGAGACAGAAAGTAGATTAGTGGCTGCCGGGGGCGGGGGGCGGGGTGGAGGTTGGAAATGGGGCAGTGATTGCTAATGGATATGGGGTTTCTTTTGGGGGTGATGCAAATGTTCTGAAATTAGAGTGGTGATGGTTGCAAAACCTCATGAATATACTAAAAACCACTGACTAATACACTTTAAAAGAGTGAATTTTATGGTATGTGAATTATAGCTCAATAAAGCTGTTATGAAAAACAAAAAAGCTATTATTTAAAAGAGATAAACAAAAGAAAAATTGAATGATTTGGTGGAGGGAGCACTAAGTGTTCCATGGGAAGCTGAAATCAGAACCTCAGAAGTCATGGTAAATGCAATGCACTCATTTAACACTGCAGGATCTTGGTAAGAAGTAGTTTTAAGCAGTAGGAATTTAGGCTAATCAGTCAACCAAGCAATAAGACTTCTGAGCCAATTTTCAAGTTGCCTTTCTAAATACATGTTTAGGAAAACTCCCTCTCCCCGCAACCAAAAGAATAAAAAGAATATAGAGATGAGGACTAGACATCTAGTATTGTTACATTCATGCTATTCCCTCCATGTGTTCAGATTATACACGCACATCCTCACATCTAACATCGTGGACAATGTGACTTCAAAACTGTATGTGAGCACAACTGTCAAACATCAAAAATACCCGTCAGTCCAACCTGTGCCGAGGCTGCATCCTCCATTCTCTATCAGTTACCAGCGCTGTTCTCAGAGCCTCTCCCTCTTTGTTAACTTTCTCGCTATGTGCAGCTCAGCCCCACACCTGTGTAAGCTGACAGGGTCCTTCTCTGATAGTTTTGTGGCCAGGCTGTCTGAATATTTCAGTGTATCTTGTTATTAATCTACTTGTTTATCAAATATATATGGCATATGTACTGTGTGCCAATCATGTCTTAAGTACTGGTGAAATAAAGAGCATTGGCCTTGTTGAGCTTATACACAGAATGGAGGAGATAGAAAAACAAATGGACCCACAAATGAAAACATAATTATAAATAAGGGCATTGACAATGAAGGCAATGAAAAGGGCAAAGGGTAGAGAGTAACAGGGTGGATGCATATCTGTTTAGCTGGAGTGACTCTGAGATTGTGGCATTCAAGTTGAGACAAAAGGATAAGAAGGAGCCAACCTTGTAAACATCATTCCAGGCAAAGGGAACAGCAGGACTGTTTTGTTTTCATTTTTAAAGTCACTTAAAGTGCAGCTACTCACATCACTGTGCACAGGACAGCTTTGGGTTACAATCTGTCCCAAAACTACAGGGAGCTTACCCTCCCTGAAACAACACTTCCCTGTGTCCACTTCATTAACTTCTTATTTTTCCTATTGCATTAAATTGTAAATCTTTTCCCTACTTTTTAATACTCACATAATCTAGTCCCCACATGCCACATCCCCTCCAACTGTATATCATGGACTCATAAGGACCCATAAATTACCTGGGAAAGAATCAACTGCCCATGAAACGTGTGTACAAATTTTCTTAAAAATGAAAAATAGGCGTCATCTCCAAGTCTTTTGGCAAGGAACCGGAGAAGGAAATAGCCCTAGAAGAAAGGAAGAAGAAAAAAAGATGCCTATCATGGGTTGATCAGAAAAATGCTTACATAGTCAGTTCTACCTTGCCCACCAGCACTTTATGCACATCTAAAATGTTCCATCTGACCTGTCCCAGGCTGCCCTTTATATTCTTACCTGTAAGGTTGGGCCTGGAAATTAAGGATCTACGACTTTGCTTTCAACTCATCTGTTAATGGGATCACCATCTCATTTTTCCTTGGTTTACATAAAGCCTGGATGCCCAACATGGACCAAAAGGGAAGAGGGGCCCAGATCCTCTCTCCCTCAGCTATCAGGAAAGGCCTCTACAACTCAAAATACTTCCTCATTACTCCTGTCTTCTAATTGGAACCTGACAGCAATTTTAAGATGCTGCTCTTCAAAGCTGACATGAAGCAGGGAGAAGGCAGGTGCAGAGAAGGGAATAGGTCAGCTTCCTTTGATGCATGCCTCATTTTTCGGGTATGAAGTGGTTTAATTATTGGACAATCAGATATCTGCCTAGTCAAATGTCATTAAAATGTTGATTTTTTTTCATTTTGTCCCAACCATGTTACTAATCTTGTTTACATGTACACCATAAAAAGTGCTACACCATAATAACTGGCTTCTGCCACTCAGATGTGCTTACCTTTAAATAATGAACCTGCATGAAGACCTTCTCTGGATTGAGCCCGTGTTTGATGACAGATGATCCCGAGTCACTTACGTGGCCAGTTTTCTCTTTGTTGGGTCTGAAATGAAGCAGTAAAATTTCCTTAAAGTATAGTACATTCTTAACTAATTAGACCATGATATCATCTTATTTCTTATTTTCAGAGTTGCTCTACAGCATCTTAATGCTACTCAATAGTACCAAGTATAATTTAAAACAGTTTACATTACCAATTCATACACCGAACAAAGAGGGATTTATATCTGGGTTGGCAACCTGAGGTTGGCTACTGGCAATATTTTACATTATCTTATCCAAGATTAAAGCCTGCCAGACCCTCGAGGAATCTAAGCTCCAATATGAATTATTTAAGAACCTATATACACTTTTCCTTTGGTAGGAATGATGGACTGGGAAATGCAATGGAAAACGTGGCTTTACTTGGAAGAGTAAAGAACTTATATCTTTTAAAAGAAATTCTGAAAGCCCCAATGTTATCCACTTCTCTTGATTTGCATTTAGTAATCAAAAGTTCCTCGAAGAGATATTTGTACTCTGAAGCCATTTTAGAATCATCAAAAAAAAAAAAAAAAAAAGAGGAAGATTGGCAACAGATGTTAGCACAAGGTCAATCTTCAAAAAAAAAAAAAAAAAAAAGGTCATAGAAGCCCATGTCTTTAGAACAGGTAGGGACATTAGTAATCACATACGTCAACCTCCTTATTTCACAAATGAGGGAAACTGAGGCACACAGAAATTAAGTCTGCATCCAAGGTCTCATGGCTTGTTTTATTCATGGTGACATTAGGATTGAAACCAATGTCTCCCTATTGTCTATCAGGGTGTTTTCCATTATGCTTTATGGTTTTAATTTTTTTTTTTTTTTGGTAAGCAAGATTGGCCCTGAGCTAACATCTGTTGCCAATCCTACTCTTTTTGCCTGAGGAAGATTCTCCCTGAGCTAATATCTGTGTCAATCTTCCTTTATTTTGTATGTGGGTCACTGCCACAGCATGGCTTGATAAGTGGTGTAGGTCTGTGCTGAGGATCTGAACCCACGAACCCTGGGCCACCTAAGCAGGACGTGCCGAACTTAACCACTGTGCCACTGGGCTGGTCCCTGATTTTAAATATTTTTAAAAATTCCTTTAATAAAATATAATTATGTTACAGTGAAGCTTCAACTAGCTAAAATCAAAATATGTGACAAGGTATTTGCAGCTTTCAGCTATTCTAAAACCAGTCCCTTATTGGAGAAGCACTGAAGTGTGTGTGTTGAGGTGAGGGGAAGGCAAGGGCTGACTGGAGGTTTGGCACATCAGAAAGGCAGGGGGTTAGTTTTAAAAGGTAGTGTGGTGTGACAAGGTACAGCCTTTGGAATCTGAGAGACCTTGTGCTGAATCTCAACCCTACTTCTTACTACCTGTTACTTAATAGCAGGTTACTTAAATTCTCTAATCCTCAATTTACTCACTTGCAAAATTGGAATAATCCTACCTATCTCCCCAGGTCCTGTGGGGAATAATATTGAAACAATATATGCAAAGCCCCTAGCAAGGGCTGGGGATACAGAACTACTCAATAAAATTAATAAAATACTCTAAAGTTGTTGGCAATAAATATTGCTGAATTCAAGGTTGGTCATCTGATGTTAGAGGCAATGGATTTCAGTGGTTCAACCTCTTAATCCCACATGCCCACAGACACAAACGTGTACGGATGCTGGACCTGAATGGAAGAGCCTGAGAGGACCCAGCTTGCCAAATCAGTCCCTTTGCAGTGTGCTCTAGCTGCCAAGCAAAGAACCCCTGATTAAGTCTCTGCTGAATATTCCAGTACATTAACCCAGCAGACACAAGGCATGGAACCGGCAGATACCTCAAGGAGAGACGACGATCAGCCACTAGACCTAAGTGCATAGTTTCAATTTTTCTACTTGATCCTTGACTTACCTACATGACCATACTTGCAGAAATAACTAGTCCTTTTCATCTTCACTTAAGACTCCACTGAAAAGCATCAGCTTTATTCCTGCTCTCAAGTTTGTCCTGGGGTTGAGTGTTTTTATAAAGAAAGCCACTCTGGCTTTGATAGGGAAAGCCCACCACCCACAGCCTTGGGAGGAGAAAGGCTTCTCAGAGTCAGCCTGAATTCAAACCAGTTTTCCCAGCCCCAAGAGAGACAGAGTTACTATGAGTTTCTTATGCCCTTGAGCTCTGAATTGAGACTACTAGAAGGGGAGCAACATAGAAGATCCAAGTAAATCCCTGCTCCGAAGGCTGGCTTCCAGGCTCAAGTTCCTAATGACGCCTTTAGTTGGTGCTTTCTCCCTTTGCCTAAAAATGTCCTTCCAGAAAGAATCCCTCTCTTACTCGTTTCTTCCACCCTCTCCAAATGAAGAAGTGTTCAAGAAAATTCTTTTATGCTGACAGCATGCAAGGCAACCGTACAAGTCCCCACGAGATTCCTTTCACAGTAGACTTGGTGCTGGAGAGAGCAGTGCCCAGGCAAACTGCAAGAAATCAAAGGCAGTGGTTTTTCTGAGGAAAAGATACTCTACAAGTGGAACAAAGGTGACTTCCATTTCTGTGCTACTCCAGTTATCTCAATGCCACTTACCCCAGGTCTGTGCAGAGAGACAACGCACAGAGAGAAGGCAGGAAACAAATAAACTACCACTACATGCACTAACAGATGACTCTCACAGGTGACTGAAAGAAGTCATACCCAGAAAGAGTACCTACAAATGTACGATTCCATTTACATGAAGTCAGAGAACAGGCAAAAAAGACCTATGGGGATAGAGATCAGAACAATGGGGACCTTTGGGAGGGATTGTTGATACAGTGGGGAAAAAGAGGAGGGTTTCTGGGATGCTGGGATGTTCTATATATTGATCTGAGTGGTGATTTCATGAGGATAAACAGTAAAAATCTATTGAGCCATCTAGAAATATGTGCGTACTTTAGTGTATTTTTCAATTAAAAAGTTAAAAAAAATAGATGCACATGAAACAGTACACATTTTGTGAGAATAAAAGGGAATCAGTCTAGAAAAGGGGCTTTGCTATTCACGTGCCATGAACACATGACTAGGATTAATTAAGCCCTCTATACTTGAGGACCAGTGAAGTATTTTTCTTTAAATGACATTGTGGGAGGCGGGAAGAACGGTGGCAAGTGCAATTGGCTCAGTCTACTCCCATCTCATCCACCTTCTTCCTTGCTGCTTGTACAATTAAATCTGAAAAGTTAAATGCTCACTTTCCAAGTGTCCTTGCAACTATAGATAGTCAGAAGACAGAGTCCACGCCAATGAGACCAAAGCATATGTCTGCTGTTGGAAGTGGGGTTCTGGGAAAGCTTTTGCTTTATTTACAAAAGGGGGAAACATGACTGGTACTGCACTTCTTCCCCCGAAACGTGATGGATGGAGCTGCAGCAGCCACCTTGCAACCAGGAGGCAGCAAATCAATATGCTATGGAAACCAGAATGGAATGAAAGAAGGTAGTCTTTGATAGTATCATTCAGCTGCTGGCCAGCCTAACTGCCTGCCTTCAAACTTCTTATTGTATGAAAAAAATAGCCCCTATTGTTGAAGTCAACATTGCTTTACTATTCTATTAACTGTAGCCAGATTCATTCCTAATGGATAAAGAACTAAACTAATACTAACAGCTACCATTTCCTGTTATCCCCCTGTGCCTGGTACTCTGCCAAGCTCTTCTTATGTATCATGTCCTTCTACCCTCACAAAAACCTGATGGGGCAGGTACTGTGACTATGCCCATTTAAAAGCGAAGGAAAGTGAGGCCTGAAGAAGACCACAAATCTAGTAAGTGGCAGAGGTGAAGCTGAAACCTGGGTCCACGGAACACCAAAGTCCTTGCTGCATTCTGGGGCCTCCCCAAGATCTAGGCCCCCATCTTGGTTGTGCCATAGACACGTTGCTTACCCTCCCTGAAGCTCAATTTCCTCACCTGTAAAGAGTACGATGAGGCTCAGATAATGTGAAGCACTTTGTGAACAGAAAAGTGTTAAACATCTCTTAGACATTATACGTGTTTATTTCCTTGGCTGGAATACATGGAATGCAAGAGATCAAGTTACCAAGGTCGTTTGGGCTTAAATGCCCTTGGTTTCTGTTGTACCTGGCACCACATGCAACAACCGAGATTAGCATGACCTTGCCCTGCCCACCTCCTTCCTTTTCCACTGCACTCACAGAAGCAATATGGACATGTAAAGACCTTTCAGATGGCAGTGATATTTGATACACAGTGATTTGATTTGGAATCAAATCTCCTGAAGAAAGGGCTGATTCTGCAGAACCATCACCAGGGATGGGATGTGGGAAAATGCCTCTGAAAGGTGCTCAGGAATGTCAGCTTGGGCCTGAACACCTACTGCTCTGTCACAGTGCAGACAGGCCGTCTCATATTCCCTGGCAGTAAAAGTAAGAGCCATGAGATATCTTCATCCATAAACTCACGACTGTAGTGCTTGAGCCAGGGCCTAAGCACCCCAGAAATGAGACAGAAAGGGATTAATCAGCATTGCAACCCTGTCTGAATATCAGTCACAGCTGCCCCACGAGGTTGACGGTCGGGGAACAGGGCCTCCCTCACTCCGTAATAATGGAGGAAGTTAAATACAACCTTTGTGTAGACACTGGCCTCACAGTACTGATCTGAGTCCCAAACACACAAGTGAGACCTACAGGGGAAGCAGCATAACACACTGGTTAAGAGTTTGGGTGTGGATCTTGACTCTGTTACTTGAGAGCCACATGACCTTGAGGGAGTCACAAAACGCCAGGAAGCTCAGTTCCTTCATCAGGTAAAAGGGGACAATGATAGTGACCATAGCACCTCATTAGGCTGTTGTAGTGTCTGAGAGTGCTTAGCTAGAGTTCTTGTTAGCATTTAGTAAGCACGATATAAATGTGCTATTATCACCATAATGAATTCTGACTGGGGTTCAGGGAGCGGCAGGGAAACCTTCCTCTGAGAGGCAAAGCCATTAAAAAGACATCACCCTATATTTAAGTATGTATGATGTTATCACTGGGGGAAGCTG